TGAATTCTAAACTAAACAGTAATTTTAACAGGCCTACAAACTTACATAAAATGTTTCTGATAAAAAAGCATGTTCAATCACAGTTCAAGCAATATTTCCACGGTACCTACTATTTTGCGCTTGATTGTAAACAGAGGAATTTTTGCATGCAGAGGGGTTACAGACAACTCCTTGTGGACTGTTGATAAGTACAATCTTCTTTTAATATTTCCTAAATCGGTTATCCTATAAAAGAAGCAGCAGGAGAGAATGGAATGGATCTTTGTCAATTCAATAATCCAGTATCTTTGTGCAATCACGAAAAAACTACTCATAGGCAAAACCTTTGTGTCAGTGATAGCAAATACAGACTTTAAGAACGCTTTTACAAGATGAGTAATGAGATTTCTTTCTCAAATTCAAACTTGGTGGCTATAATCCTGCCTATATAAAATCACTTTACATGCTAATTTTATTTCAATAGTCTAGACTCTTTGCTGCATTTCCAGAGCCCTTCAGACGATGAAAGAATTCAATTTGTACAAACTGAGAACCCAGTAGACTTTAATAATCACACTTGTTTCTGTCCCTTAAGGTTGTGTTATCTTGGGGACACACTGTCGCCTTCTAACTAGAAAAACATTACTTGCTTTCTCTTCCTCAAAATGCCTGTCATTTTATACAGACTCTTTGTCAGCTTAAATATAGACACGAGACATTGTCTGCCTGTTTTACTCTCTGAGTAAATATCTTCAAATGTGAATTATAATACAGAAGTTTATTGCTCACTATTCAGGTCATCTCACAGCCATACCAAGGACACTGAATTTGAACAGTTTGAATAGATTCAGACCACAGCCATGAACACAAAGATTAGGTTTCCTTTAGCTGATAAAGAGGGTTATTTTGATGTTCTGTTTCCTTCAAATCTTGTGAATAGCAGTGCTGGTTTTGGCTAAGATAGAGTTAAATTTCTTCAGAATAGCTTGTATAGTTCTATGTTTTAGATTTCTGCTGGAAACAGTGTTGACAATACAGAAAAGTTTTCATGATTGCTGAGCAGTGCTTGCACAGTCAAGGCCCTTTCTGCTTCTCACCCCACCAGCGAGTGGGATGGGGGTGCACAAGGAGCTGGGATTGGACACAGCTGGGACAACTGACTCGGGGATACTCCAGACCACATGACATCATACTCAGCATATAAACATGGGGGAAGTTCAGAGTTACATCTTCTCAAGTAACTGCTCCACGTTCCCAGAGATGGCTGAATACCTGCCTGCCGATGGGTAGCAGTAGGATGTATTGGCATGGGAAGCCTTATTTGGCTTTGGTTGCAGGTGCATCTTTTACTTTACCCATCATACTGTCTTTATCTCAGCCCACAAGTTTCTGCACTTTTACCTTTGTGATTCTCTCCCCCATCCCACTGTGGAGGGAGTGAGAGAAGAGGCTGTGTGTGGCTTAGTTGGGGTTAAACCACCACAGCAGCACAACTTTGATATCCCCCAGGAGTCCTACCGTATCATCCCAGAGAACACACATTACTTCAAGGCTGCAATCTGTATTGGGAAATAATGATTAATTTACCTATTATTTTTGAACAAGCCTACTTTTAGCAGATGGATATTTCACTGTAATTAGCAGCCCCTCTGAGAAGATGACGAATAATTACAGGAAGCAACTTTGTCACTAGTCAGTGTTAAAAATAATTACTCATAATCGTTACATTTAAATGCTGGGTTTTACTTTAAAATTATGAGACCGCCCTATAGATTTTTGTCTTGTTCTGTAGCTTAACTAACAAAATGTCACCCCAAATTTGCAGATAATCAGCCTGAAACGTTCTTAGGTTTCTTTTGCTCAGCTTGGGAGGGCATTAACTCTGGAGCAAGTTACATACTTCAGTTATTTTTGGCAATTCAAGAGTTCATCCAAGGACTGTTCAAAATACACTGCAGGTATGGAAACATCAGGAGGTTCCACTAGTGCAGGCAGTAAAAACACAGGCTGTTTCATTTTGAAGGAGTAGCTGTTCCTCTCACACATCACATGCATTTCAAAGGCAGAAATTTCACTATGTGCTGTGGGAACGTTATATCTTTACCATTGTGATCAAATGACAAAGCAGATTTCAGTATCGGCTGCAAATATATTCATAGATTGATAAATAATACCATCAAGTTCTTGAAAAGTTATTTTGTCAGAAGACCTCAAAGTGTCTTAGAATGCTAGCTTTCTGGGCTTGATCTTACTTTTGAAGCACCTTAAGCAAGATGTGAAATAATTCACCTAAGGTCATCAGAACACTGGTCACAGAGCTAAGCCCTGTGCCCCAGATCAAGGCTTAGCTCCATCCATTACTTTGCTTCTTATATACCTTTTGATGAAAAACCTATGGATGTAGTTTTCAGAAGTTCTTCAAACCATTCTAAATCTTGATGCTCAGAATTGGTAAGAAATTGAGGCACCAAAGAACTTCAAAGAATTTGTGTAGTGGTTGCTTGAAACTCCCCTAGATCTCCTGGTTATGTGTAGAGCTGAGCAACTGTGCTGAGGAATGAAGTAGTTGCAGTAACCCAAGTGCTGAAACACAAATAAAACCCCTATTCCTGAAAAAATAAGTCTCAGTGGAGAATGTTGGTTTAAATGATGCTATGACAAAGCAGTAGGAGCCTAGACTTAAGTCATACATATCTCCAAACAAATGACAATTAAATCTGAAGTTCACTTTATAATATTAGTTCAATGTTTAAAATTTATTATTTATTTCTATGAATAATTTTATCTTCCTCCCTCCTGAAAAATATTAGGTACCTTAGCAGCAAAAAGGCCATTAGTAAGTGTACAGCTCAGTTACATTCTGAAGTGCAACACTAAAGACATACATTTAGATAAAAATACACACATATCAGACTGTCATATAAAAATAAGATGTTTTTTTGTGATGGTATGTATGCTGATAAAATGCAGCAACCCTTAGACATATAGATATAATCACATCTAAAGAAGTTTAAAATGTATTTCAGTAAATAAATTTAAAACAATAAAAAATATTTATATTCTGCAGTCAAAAGTAGGTGAAACATTTGAAGAACAGACAAAACTGGACAAAGAAGATGGCTTTAAAATTCTGCAAAATATTTATTTTCCTGGGAGAAGAAAGGTAATGATTTGAAAGTTGGTGTAACTTTCAGACTTTTCTGTTAAATTGTTTCTTGGAAAATGAAACCAATTGTCTGATAAAATTTTTCTGAAATAATTCAGACAAGGCAAGTTCGAACATTAGAACTCTCACTTGTTCAGTGACTCAAGAGCACTTGTGGTGAAACTCAACCTTTTTTTTTAGTGTGACCGAAAAGCACAACCTGTGTTAAACCTACAAAGGCAAGAAACATCTGCAGCATGCATGTTCATTTTCAAAGATGCATAAAAAAAAATTCTACATAGGAGTTAATGTATTTTTATTATGTCTGTGCTTGAGTATTTATATCGAAGGGTCAGATATGTGATAGAAAAGTAATGAGACCAGGTTGAGAAAAATGAGGTAGTCAACAGGAAAATCAACCTCATTTATAATAATATTCCTGTGATCAGCAGGTGCATAGCTCTCCTAGCTATGGTCATTAACTGCATTCATTTCACACTTAACATCTACATTTGCAAACCATTTGAAAGTAAAATTACCTTTCAATTCAATTTTCAATTTTATTTTATATCTTCAGCTTTGATTGACTATTCTCCTCACAATGGCAACTATAGTGAGATTGCAAGTAAATGGTACCAACTACCCAAGAGTACAGATAAACTCATCTTCCCAGATTACCTATTCATTTTGCTTCTGTATGTATAATAATTTATAACCATTTGTTAATGTTCAGTTCAAGGCTTAAAATGAACTTAGAAAAAATTATGCTGGACTGGTGAAGAGATGCTTCATTTGTCAGGCTCACTTATTCTTAAAATGAAAGTGGTTTTCTCCTTACAAATGACTTACACTGGAAGTTTACCAAACATGAAAGCAGGTATTTCATTGATGTTGCTAAGCAAAGAGCAATTCTCATACAATTTATTATTAATGGAAATCTCCTTTTATCTTGGACAAAATCCAGACAGAATTCTCTGCTAAAGCTTAACTATTAGCATGTTAGCATATTAGTAGTTGGCAATTTAGTGCCATTTTCTCCATGAAAATGGGCTTCAGAAACATTAACCAGTGTCATCATCATCTCCATTTTAAAGCTACAAAAGCAAAGGAATATCAATGGCCAGCCAATCTGCTATGCTTACAGATTCTTCAGTTTTCTTATTCAGGAGCAGTCTATACTTCATGCGTGTTTTATTTTTTGAGCTACTTCTAAATTGGTCTTGTAGGAGATTGAACAGGCTGCCTGATCATCTTGGATCCAGAGCATTGGATCCTGCCCTCATAAAACCAGGTGTAGTTATGTTGAAAATCAATCAGATCTCTACAAAATAAAGTCAGGAAGACCGGTATATCACCTAGACAACAAATTGTGAAGGGACAGCTTAATTTTTTTGTACTGGAATTTTTTGTTGATAACACTCTTCTAGGAAGACTCAAGGAGAAAAAAAAAAAACGAAGTCCACTTAAACAGTATCCATAATGAGGTGGCAGAGGCAAAAAGAAAATAATCAAATCCGGTTGCTAAAATAGAAAAACTTTCAAAATATAAGCAATTGTGATGAACTAGTGATTCCTGAGCCCTCCCTGAAAAATATTGACATATTTGCAATCAATTTTCCAACTGAAAGAATAACCTGATATTTTCACTGACAAAGAATAATTTGTCATGAAAGTTTCATTACTCTTAGAACTTCCTGTTTCAAAAAATCATTCCGGAATTTGCTATTAATATTAATAACTTATATTCTAGAAACTTCTATCACTATTTTAACATCCTTGGTTTTGAAATGAGCTCATCTTTCTCTTATTTTCAAGTATTTAGTAAATTATATTTTAAGGCATGGTGGTATGTTCCTCTGAAGCATGGCTAACTGGGCCAAATTGTTTAGAAAACCGTAATTCTAGAAAATAGTTTTTAATTTGTTCAGTAAAAAATAGTCTAGTGAGTATTAATTTGAGGAAAGTTTAGTGCCTATGTCTTCTCAAGAATTTAAAAAATTACCCTTATATAATGCAGTTATTTATGCCTGGAACTAATTCTGTTGTCTCTTTTCTTTAGCTTGTTGGCTGTTATTCTTTCAGCTTGGTTTTTCTTCCCATG